GTAGGCACTGCTGATGGTGGGTGTGGAGGGGGGCGGGGGGGGGGCGGGGGGGGGGCCCCGCCGCCGGCAGGGCTGTAAGATTTTACCCGGCTGCCGCGGGCAGCGCCCTGCCCGGGGACCCCGCCAGCCTGGACTTCGCCCAGTGCCTGGGTTACTACAGCTACGGCAAGGTGATTCCTGCTCCGCCGCCTCCTGCCGCGCGCGGGGCCGGGGCGGGGCCGGAGCGGAGCGGAGCGGAGCTCACCCCGCGCTCCGCAGGTTGAGGCTGCTAGAAGTTGCCCGTAGCGGCGGGGAGACCGGTTCCCTGCCCCTTCCCCGGGCTTGTCATGTAGTTACAGCCCCAGGGGCTGGGGGGTGGGCAGCTGGCTTGGGCTCCTGCCCCTGGCAGGCGGCAGGCACTAGGGAGGTTGTGGGGCAGATCTGGTACTTTTTTCTCCCCCCCCAAGCAAATGAACTTGTCCCTTGCCCTTTCCCCCCAGCAGGCAACAGCGGGTGGTTTTGCAGGGCCCCTGGGTGCCCACCTGCACTGAACTTGGCCAGGGCAGGTCCCACTTTTGCTCTCAGGGTTTTGTTTGGGCAGACCTCTGCTGGCCGGGCGGTTTCTAGGTGCATCTTTCCAAGGGGGTGGAAGGGGGAACCTGCTACCTGCTTTGATTTTTGCAGTGATGCCAGATGCAGTCTCTAACTAGCACATATATTCTGAGCCTGAGGATTAGCTCAAGGTTCGTGTACCTGGGCTGCTACCATTGAGAGCGCAGCCACGGACGTGGCTGTCAAAAAGTTGTGGGCCGGCTCGCTGCATGTGCCACTTGCCTCTCTTTTTGTGGCCCATGTAGCGTGTAGAACAGATGTTTGCAGGCATAAAGGAATGGGCGCTCCCCAATGGCCACATTGATTTCCAGAGATGCATTGAAATACGTATGCAGGCAGTTTGCTTCTCAAATTCTCTGAATCTGGGAAACGCAAAGTTAAGAGTGATGCGGGGACTTGCGCTGTGTTGAAAAAGTCTTGGCTGTTTGCACTGTGATGTGTCAATAGCACATTGAGCTATTAGCGCTGGGCCCTCACACATGCACATAAAGATCCCTTTCACACTGTGTTTTTCCTGGTGCTGTGTTTGCCCAACCTCTGGGGCCTTTTGTGAGGCAGGATCTGAGATGCTGGGGGAAGGAAGGATGCTACACGAAGTGTTAATTTAAGGTAAAATCTGATGTGTTGAGTCCTTTGCAAATTTCTAGATAAAGTTTGAGGCAACTGTAGAGAACTACAAGAGGGAGAAATAATTTGAGTTCAAAACCAGAGGAACGGTACCTAAGTAGGTAGAAACTTTCTCTGGGGAGAGTAACTTCAGAGTACATTTTTTGCTCCCCTCTACAATAGTTGTAATTTCACTGCTGTGGTCTTCAAGATCTGGTGCTGCCTTGCTATTCAAAACGTACAGATGCACTTTCACTGGGAGATGTAGAACAGTGTTCCCGGGGAATGTACGCAATTCATGCATTGCGCGTGCTCTCTGCGAATACAACACTGAGGCTATTAGCATGCTGCTTTGTTAATAGTTAATATAAAAAGAAAAAGAGACACAGTATCATGAATTAAAGATGAAGTTGTCAACCTTAACTTTGAATCCTGTTAAGACTGCAAGAGCTCTAAATGCCTGGGAAATATGCACTGTTGTCTGGTACGCCAGCTAAATATGAAAGCTTGCACTCCTTGACATACTATACACTTACTGTACCTTTCATGCATTGTGTTATGTACAGCATGCACTTATTTCAGGGGCTAGTCTTGTCTTGTATGAATTGCTGATTTGCTGATTTTTTTTTTTTTTTTTTCCTGCATCCGAAATCTTGACTGGCTGCTAAAAGAGAAGTTTTGTTGTGCAAACTAAGTTGTTTCTCATGCACACAAAGTTTACATGTACAAATACAGTGTATACATTTTTCATTTTCAGGAAGAAAGGAGACAGAGCACTATGCAGAAAGCATGAGGCACAACTAACTTTTTCATCTATAAGATTGTATAACAATTGAAATTCCATTTCTCTTTGCCCTTTTGCACAATTTTGGCAAGGATCTTGTAGGCCAAGTTCAGTCTGTTGCAAGAGATATTTTTATAATGAAACTCCACCTATAATGGATGTACATGGATCAGTTGTTACAGATACATTCTTGCATCCTTTTGACTTGATCCTGAGTGGGCCCATGCACCCTGAATTTTGCTTGTATCATTTGAAATAGTGAGTATTTGAAGATCAGTCAGGAAATCAGTAGTGTACAGTACTGGCGTTCCAGGATCAGAACAACCTGTGACTGATTTCCTTGAAGGGAAGCTCCTTGTCTCTATAAATCTACCCATTCTCTGGAGCAGAGTGCTCCCCCAACCACACTTCTTCTGAACGCAGTCCCTCTGTTATGCTTCTGTGTGCCTCTTCTCTGCTCCTGAATAGGACACTGACATAAGTGCCCTAAGCTAACTCTTTACCTGCAAGTATACTCTAATTGATTTCTTCTACAGAACTGCGCCTCCAGCTTATTTTCACACTTACTCAGGGTTGGTCAAAACTGGCTAATTACTCCTGGTGATTATTACTGATTTTTTGGGAGTATTGCTTTTGGTTGTCAGATATGCTTTGCTGGACAGAGGCCTTTAAGCATATGCTTAAAATTAAGTACAAGAATAGTTCCAGAATTCCTGTTTGTACTGAAGTAGCTTTTAGGAGATTTATGATCACAATAAAATCCTGATCTAGAACTTCAAAGTGGTTGCATGGTAAATAGATAAGGCAACAGCAAAAACAGGCATCAAAAGATGAAGTGACTTGCCCAAGGTCACACAGGTAGTCAGCGGCATAACCTGTGTTGGAAATAATTTGTCCTGAGACCTAGTTCAGTGGTTCACCAAGTGTATGCTGAATCTCAGTGACTTGAATAGGCTCACTTACATAGTTGAAGGAATATGTGCTTAAATGCTTTGTTAGATTGGGGCAGTACTTCCTAAGTATCCTGTGCTGGGATAGAAGTAATGGAAGTCAAAGTATAACCTGCCCCTCTGTGCGTTAGAGGTGGTGATAGTTCTCAGCAAATGAGGCCTGCTTCCAATTGGTAGAACTGTATAGGCACACTATGATTCCCTGTTTCTAAAAAAGTTTGGCTCTTGTGTTTATGTGCACTAAAACGTCACTAAAAAATAGCTGTAAAAATTACAGAAGGTTGAAAGGGACCAGCTGTTAAACATTCTACTTCTGTCTTGAGCCCTTTTATGGTTCTGCTGATGGAAAGTAATTTTGGACATTTGCTATAGCTTAATAGTTTTTTCTAAACAAACTTCTTCACTTATTGGGTAGATTACATGCCTTGTAACTGAAAATATTTAGGGAACTACCATTCATCATAATGAATAAAGAGAAATGGTAAAGTAGCCACAGTTTTCCTAGTGCTATTAAAAAAAATCAAACCACCACAGCTTGGTCCAAGTTACCATTATGGTTACAAAATTAGTGCCCTTATCCAAAAGTTTACTGCAGTAAAAATGTATAACGTATCTATTTTAAATGTTAAAAAAATCATATTTGGGTGCCTTAATTTAGATAGCAAATTTAGGTGCTAGCGTGATTTTTTTTTTTTTTTTTGGTTGAAATATTTTATATTTTGGAAATTGAGCCCAATAAGTTATCTTTTTACAGTTATAAGAGAGAGAGCATTACATGGCAGCCTTGCAACAGGGAAAGGGTAATCTCAAATTTCCATACTTTGTGTAAGGAAATGCTTTACCATTTTGGCAATCGAGGATCCTGAGCACAACAGCGAAACAAGGACCATAAGCCATGTAGCAAGCGTTTTCAGACAGAAATATGATTAGTACGTTGTCTGCAGAATTGCAGTCCTGGTGGTTGCATCTCTGCCTGGATTTTCCTACATGTTCCAGACTACTAAATCTAAAGATAGAGATTGTGGATTAAAATCCGTAAAAGGTTTTGTGATTTTTCTTTTACCTTACCACCTCAATCTGGGTTGCTGTTTTATCTCAGTGAACCTCTTGCATAACTGGCAAGTTTCTGAGATATTATTTAAGCAAAAACAGAGATCTGCAGAACTTCATTACTGCACAGACAGTTACTGTTGGGAAGCAGGGTGGTACAAAATGTCTCCCCTCCCCACCCTTCCCTTGGGGACCAAGATGTAGCTCTAGAGATGCATGAACTCTGGTATAACTAAAATACTGTTTTTTCAGTCCATTGTCCCTTCCTAATAAGGATTTCAAGGAATTCATGGCAAATTAAAAATAGAATACAAATTATAATTTGTACTATTGCTAGTACTTGCAGTACATTTTTTTTCCTGGAGTAATGATCCCACAGCTTTTCATGTCTTGAATCTTCTTGAGCAGCTAGCTTTGAAAATGCATCCTTATATGCCAAGGGCAGCAACTTACAAAGGACTATGTTGTTTTGAATGAGCTTGTGTATAATGGTGATACTAATTGGATTGTGCAGTGTAGAATTTTTTTTTGTTCAAATAATGCAACTTCTGTATTGAATAAACCATTTGTATGTAAAACACATGGAAAAGTTGGTTTTAAAAGCAGTTAACATAGCAGAAGCTGTTTTATCCTGTTGAAGATTTTTCAGCAATTTTCATTATAACTAATTACAGTTTAATCCACAAGAGACTTTTAATGATGTACAGTAGTGTGTGAAGAGTGCTAGGTTTTATTATTAAGATTTTCTGAAGTATGTATAAAATGGCACATGGAAAAGAAACATAGAAAACTTATAAAAGAAGCTCATGCATAGTCATAGTTCAAAGAATTGGAAAAATGAGGTTATTTTTTTAAACTGCCTTTTGAGTCATAACATTGCTCGTATTACATTTTAGTCCCTGATATGAAGTTATTGAATCTTATTCTCCCTATGAAGTAGGTAAGAGAAAATCGGAAATAACAATATTCCAGGCTCGTGTCTATACTATGCAATCTCTACCACTATAACTATGCCAGTGCTAGCTACCCTGGCAGAGCCCTCTAGTGTAAAGATAGTATATGCAGCTAGAAGGGGAGTTACTGCACAATTATACCATCTCCCTGAATGACATAAGCTAAGCAGCTGGAACTCTTCTGTATCTAGGGTTTTGCCAGCAATGCTTTATCAGCTGCGAGCATCATCTTTTCA